TAATAGCAACAAACCAAAAAAAAAAAGACTCCATATAATTCATTACTACACAACTGATAAACATTAATGGTGACCTTATTTGTGTATTTTTTATTGAAGTAACATTAAATTATAACATTTTATATATATATATTTCAGGTATGCATTTTTGAGTATACTACTAAAACAACGCTGTCAAAGATGTCTGTTGTGCAAGATTATTTGTATAATGAACTCTCAGTAGCAATACTAAGGCAAATGATATGCAATGTAAATTTTGACACATACTACCAATTGTCCTCTAAAAAGACTGCATTAACCTATACAATCCTATAGTCCTTCTCTACATCAGGGATGTTGATTTGTTAGATTGGCAAGTACTTCAAAAATGGATAAGTGAAAAAAACCGCAACTTTCCAACTGCATTTTGTAATTACAAATGAGGATGAATATTGTTTCACGCCTTTGTCAATTAATTTTGTTTTCCTATTATCTTTTTCTTTTGTCTCAGTTTTCCAATCTTTTACAAGTGCTCTGTAAAAGCTACCTGTATATTGCAGAAAACAGTCAAATGAAATCTTTACTTCACTATTCATACCAAAAAAAGGTACTCACCAAAGAACTGCTTGTTGTCTTCATAGTACTTGTTTCCATATTTGTCTTCGCCTACCAGCGTGCCAACCCTCACATCATTTGTCCTGTAAAAGTCCAAAAGACATTTTTTAAAATGGCCCTTTATTCAAAACACAAGCATAAAAAAAGCGTGAAGACCACCTTCCGAAACGGCTAAGCTGACCCAAATGTTATCCTTAAATCATGCCAAATATGTATAAGCAATGTCGCTAAATAACAAAACTCTTGTCTACTATCCCAGGCCAAAAGACACTGAGTTGGCAGAAACCTTCAGGAAATCAGGAAGTCTACATTTTCATCTTAAAATGGTCCGAATGTCTCCTAGCTCTTCCAATTTGCCTGCACTGTTCAACGAAAAGTCAGAACTAATAGGGACCATTATGATCATTTCGTTCAAAGCTTTACTGTACCAAACAGGAAACTGAAGGCGAGTGAAGGGGAGAAGAAAACTTTCCCAAGGTCACACAGAGCTTCGCAATCTTGATTGTTCTCCAAGAAGTAAGACAAGGATGCGGCCCCAAAGCCCTGCCTCCAGGTCACAGCTGTGTCTTCAAAGTGGGTTTTGGTGCTGTCTCGGAAGACCCCGGGTCAAAAAACTCGGCCAGGGCCACGCCAGGCCGGTTGTCCTTGACAAGAACTGTAGCTCTCCAGGACGACCCAGCCCGGTTCCCTTCCCAAGAAACCGGCCAGCGCCAAGACCAGCTCCGATGCCAAGATCAAGGACGCTTACCTGAAGAAAACTCGAAGATAGCCGCCAAGACCGCCATGGCCAGTAACCTGCTGCAGCCCGCGCTTTAGGACCTGCACTAACTCCATCTTGCCCGCAGGACCAGCCTCCCGGGTGCACCACGCAAATCGCACCGGTGGGAAGCGAACACTCAAGCTGCAGGGAGCCGACTACAGAAGGTTCTCACGCACGCGCGTCAGGAGGGCGAGGTTCTGCGCATGCGCGGAGGTGGAGCTCCGCGGCGCCAGCGCTACCTCTCTGAAAAAGGTGCCTTAGCGTTCTGTGGGAAGCATAGACCTGATAAATTATGAGTTTTCAAGTGTTTGTATTTAGTAAACAGGGAATGTGATGGGAAATTCACCTAAACTGGACTTCCCCAAGTGGAGATTTCTCTTTTGGATACTTCTGTTAACTCATCTACTTCTGTTAACTCATCATGATCGGTTCAGGTTTTTCCGAAAATCTTGTCCCGCGCCAACTTAGGAACTCAATATTGGGTCAATATAATCATTTTGCGTATTCTAAGTTGAGCATGTATAAGCGGTGAACCGTGTAGATAGGTGAACGAGAAGGAATAGCAAAGTATAAGATTATCTGCTCTCAAGGATTTGGTGATTTAGCTCCAAAGCTAATATTTAAAATTAGGAAAGTAATCCGTGCGTGATATTTACAATTTTAAGCAATAACGGATATTAAATGTGTGCTACTTCTAACTTTCTATGGCCACTTTATAATTTTAAATAATATACTTTGTATTTCTTGTCCAGCGATTTGGAACAGCAACTTGTAACTAAAGATGCTAAAAATTTTAATTAAAAAAATTGTTATCAATTTATAAACTCCATTAAGCAAGACACACCACCAAATCTTGGCACATAAAGCTGCTTAAGAGGTCACTTCTGCCAAAAGGTGCCACATTTCTGCTTCCACACGCCCTTCTAGGAGTTTGCCACTTAAGCATATACGTTTGTAATTTTTTATGAAGTCAAACGCAGGAAATATGTAAATATACCAGTTTCAGCCTCACCTGAAATCCATGTAAAAAGACGTGATTCCAGATTCTAACATTCAGCTGTTACATACCTATGGCAGCATGGGTGATAAATTTTCTTATTCCAGCTTCATTTACTTGTTTTAAATCATTTTTAGGGTTGCTTATTAGAAAATAATAGAGATTTGGAATACTATTAATACTTTGGAAGTAACTTGCATGGTCCTGTTTATATCCTACTCCAGAAGTAACTAGTATTCTATATTTAGTAAGAATTTCCTTGCTTTTTATTAGTTTTACCACATATAGAAAAGTAGTTCTCAATGTTTCAATATGCCTGTTTTCAATAAACAGATTGTCATATTTTTATATACTTTTGGATCTTATGCATAATTTTTGCAATTCATGCATGCTGACATTCTATTCCTTTTTGTGTTGTATAATATCCCATTAGATAACTGTGCTTTAAATTTACTTAAACATTTTCCTGTTGACATGTATTTTGGAATTTTTTTTTTTTTTGCTTTTACATTGTCAACATAAATATTTTTGTAGTTCTTGGCACACATACATTTATCTATGTAAAATTACGTTCCAGAGATGCTATCAACTTTGGACACTTCTACCACCAGCACACATTATTGCTCCACAGACTTGACACTTGCTATCACCAGATTTACATTTTGTTATGGTCTATCAGTATCTGCTTCCTAAATAGATTTAAAAAAAAAAAATGCACACACATAAACAAAAAACCCTTCCAGAAGAGACATTGCAATATAATCAGTCTGGAGGATCTATGGTGCACATCAGGCTGCTGCTCAGTTTTCCTCACCCTAGGTTGCTTTCCCAGGTGTGCTAACATGATCACCACTACTCTTTCTGTTTCAACTTTCAAAGGTTTGTGGCTATCAATATTTCTCCCATTATTTTTGTCTTGTGATAATGTCTTAAAAATCTTTTACCTATATTACAATGCAGTTTAGGAGAAAGCTAGAATTTAAAGTATGTACTAAAGGCATAATCTTTTACTATGTACTTTTTTTAAATTGCATTTTTAAATCCTGTTTGTTTTTTTTTTCCACAAAAGAGCAGAGTAGCTGTTAAGAAATCTGAAGTAAAAAAAAATTTTTCAAAGAAAAATGCTGCAACTTTTGATCTCAATTAAGGATATCTTTTAAAAATTTTTTTTGCAGAGATTTCTAAATTTAGAAATTTCTAAATTTCTTACTTCTGGCAAGATTAGGGAGCACTCATGGACTATAATAACCTCAGCTTGTGAACTCAGACCATATCAACGATCTTCAGAGTCTCTATGATATTGTTCAGAGTCTTCCATGATATTGTTAAGAGCAACCTCCAGTATCTTTGACTCTGGTGTTCTAGTTTTAAGATGGTAGGGACTGGACTCTTTTTAACCCCATTTATAGTGTTGGGTCAACTCAAGCCAGACAAATGTCCTTTCATAATTTAGCTTGTATTAATAATTTTCTTGCCTTCTTAAATCTTTTCTTAGGCTCCTGTTAGATTCATAATTTGACTTTCCAGTTTTACTTCATTTTTTAAAATCTTTTTATACTTCCAGGGGGAGTTCTTCAACAACCTTACTTTCTAAGTCTCTAATGAATTGCTTTAGGGATAAAATTTTTTAATTTCTAGGGCCAGTTGCTTGTTCCAAATTTCCCTTTTTAAAACACCAATTACATTGAGGGGCAGATATTTTTCTGATTTCTTAGATTCTATCTACTCACTCTTGCCTCCCATGTTGGATGTCTTATGTGTTGAAATTTCCTCAAATATCTGGTGATCCTAACTCTAAGAGTCAAAGTACCAAAGAACAGGTTAGAAACCCCATGAAGTCAAGTAAGATGAAGAGTGATAAAATGGCTCTCTTTTAGATCTTTTTCAGGATCTTTTCACTGGGGACAATTAATTTCTCCTTAAAAAAAAAAAAAAAAAAAAAAAGTCCTAGCAGAAGGCTAACATTCTGGGAACACAGCTAACCTGTAGATTTCAACTTATCCATACATCCAATCCTGTATCTGAAATCCTGAAATCATGTTATTCCTGTTTTCCTTTAAGTGCTATGACCATCAAGTTTCTCAAGAGAATTAACCTCTGGCCTTCTGTTTGAAGGATGGGGAGGTGGTCACTTGATCTAAGAATAGAGAAAAGTATAGATTTCTAATTATTTCTTTATGTTACAAATATGAACACCTGGTTCTTCAGCATCTTTGCACAACAATGTACTGGTTTCTTCTTCACTTGCCTTTGCAGATACTCAGATCAGAGTAGCTCCGCTAAATCACTCTCCACCTGCATTTTGCTTTCTAAAAATTTATTTGACCCTCTTATCCTGGTATCTTTAGTCCTGTTTTATTTGTCATTGTGTGGCTACACTTTACTGTCATGTTACTGAGATTTCCATTAAGAAAGAAAATAGTGAATCCCCAATATTTAGCTGGAATTCTTCAAACAATTTTGTAAAAAATTCTGAAATAATACATATGGAAATGTCTGCCACAATTTTCCCCTCCTAGAGTACTTATATCTTACTAGAGTTTTCTTAATAATAGAACAGAGAAAAGGATGACCAAACACTGAACAAATAGGACTCTGAATCAAATATACTGGCAGGAAACAGAAATTTGTAGTGCAGGTCATATTTTAATATAGTTTTAAAAAACACTTCCAAATAAATCTACAAATTTAATCAGGAAAAATACCTGAAGGAAACAGATATCTTAATTAACCATTAGTACATCATTTTAAATAGTTATTTTCCTGAATCTTTGGCTAACTTCATTGGATTTATAAAGGTATAAACCTACTGATTTTTCCATCTGAGTATTTTGTATTAAATGTAGTTTTTCCCCTGTTGATAATTATAAATAACTTGCTGACAAAATCATGTTTTAAATAGGAAAAAAATTCCCTTAGTAACTTGGTAAAGAATGATAAATTGTTAAATGTTTGACTTAAGACAAAGTAGCAACCAGTAAAATCAACATCCTCCCCCAAAATTTAGCTTCTCTTCTATTGCAGAGTCTTTATAAACTAATGAATGCATAATCTCCCTACTTGCCTTTAAAAAAAAAAAAAAAAGGACACACCAAAATAACTCATAGTGTCAGGTTTGCTAAGGAAAACATTACTTGAGGAAGACATCCAAGGGGTCTAAAATGTTTTTGTAGCAATAACAAGGCTTTAAGCCGATACTTACATAGCTGTTAAAGCAGTCCTTCCACTTAAAAAAGAAAATTCAGTGCATATTCCTGTTTATCTTAAAAAGTTAAATTTTAAAAAATTATCAATTTGCTTTAAAGTAACTGTTTAACTCACTTTGAAAATAGATCACCTATGATAAATCTATTATTTAACAAACAGGGTTTTTCTAAAAAGAAATTGGCTAAAAACCCAGAAGGATCAGGAGACCATATAATGCAGGCAGGTGAGAAAAGAGGAAGATGCTTTTTGTGGAATGGAAGATCAACAGTTTTAATGTCTATTTTGAAATACTGAAACATTTTGGGTTCAATTAATCTCTACTACTTTTAAAAACACAGTAGTAAACCAAAAATAACAAAACATGTATTCTATCTTATTCTCAAAATCAATTTTTAGCTACACACATAAATAAAAAGTGCTTATAACTAATAATATGACACTAAAAAAAATCATCCGTAAGATCATGAATGGCCAATGCTCATTGCCAGCAATGAGAGTGCTATATGCTAAAGGATGACATGATATTTACAAAAGACAAAAAATATATATTTGATTATTTCCTATAGTTCTAGTATTATCATTATACTATTGAGCATAAAATAATCTTTTTTTTTTGACATGGTAATTAAAACAGTTTATCTTATGGAACAGTAAAATACAAGGAAACCCCCCTTAGAGATTTCTAATGAGTGTTTAAACTAGTTTATAATGAAGTTAAACATGAATAGAACACAATTCAGGGAGGAAAAAAAAAGACTAATTTATTTTTTTATAAAATAAAATGAGAGGTTTTAGTTTAGATAGTGAAGTGATGCCCTTAGATGTCATCTTAACCAAGAATAAGTTCATAGTAATTCTTATTCACTTAAATAAGACAGGAAAGGAAATTCTAATTCCTACTACCTGCCTAGTCACTTAGAAAAGTCTTCATAAGGAAGTTAACACACATACACACACGAAACCCTTAGATTTTGGTTATTCTTTAAAGTTAAAATTTCCAGATTCCCTGGAAGTAACAACTTCAGTTTGGTATCTACTTGTATTCTGGGAAAGAACAGTAAGTTTACACTGAGAGCTTGCTTTTCAAATGCTGTGACCAATTATTTGTGAGTTATAGTCTGCAGGTTCCATTTTTAAAATATGTGGGATTACACTGTCAATTCGTACATTGCCAATGAGACCTTTGAAAAACAATTCTTCAGTGATGGTAGCATTCATCAGTCTCAAAGCTGGCAACCTGAGTAGTAGCCTAGATAACCTAAAAAGAAAAAAAGGAGGAGGAAGAAAACAAGGCTGTAAATGAAAAGAAATTTCGTAGAAAAATATGAGTAATTTCTGAATGTGTATTGTTTGTAGGTTAATTTAATGAAACTTTATTTCTAAAAGTTAAAATAAAAACTTTAGTATTCTCATGTCACAGGATGCATGACAACCACCAGGAAACAAAATGCAGCCGGACAGACTTTATAGGAAAATTTTGCTCTGTTACACTGTGCTCTGACTTCATCTATTTGTAAGAACTATGGAAGTGACTAAGTGATACATTTAAGAATGGCTCAACAAAGGCTGTAAAAATAGCAATGTTTTAACTACAAAATATAAGGCACAATTCTTGGTTTCACTTTGCAAAACTCTACTGAAAATTATTTCAAGACAGTAGCTGTTATTACTAGTGATCCTCCTAAATCACTCAATTCCTGTCTATTCCCACCAGCTGAGCTGCATCCATGTAGACAGAACTAGTATCAAACAGGGTAGGAAAATTGTTAAACTAATTTCATTAAGAAACTGACATACATGTCTTAATATATGTAAAAAATTAACATATACAAAATGTTCTCTTATTCGTTGGAAGAATGTTAAATAATAACACCAGTAGACATTTATATAGCCTTTATAATGTAACAAGCACTGTCCTAAGCTCTTTACATGTATTAAATGATTTACTCCTTATTCTAATTGTAAAACATGGGTGCTATTATTATTTCCATTTTACAGATAAGGAAACTCAAAAAGGTACGTTAAACAAATTGCCATGGCCATATAATTACTATGTAGTGGGGTCAGAAGCCAAACCGTATGTGTCTTTGGTACACATACGGTTAACTACTCCGTAATAATGCCCCTCTTCAAAAATTCAAAGATCTTCTAAAAAAAAAGTCCTTTCAAAGATATTTATAAGGAATACCTTGGTGAAACTATTATAAACCAAGTCTCACAATTATTTATAAATCAGTCTAATGTCATTAAAAAAAATCTTCAATTTTACTAATAAAAATTCAGGACTTCATCTTAAAAAAATAGTTTGGATGCTAGAGTGACACCAAGCTCTACCACATGTATGATCATGAGCATGTGATTCAACCTGTCTATATAAAATTTATGTTGTCTCCTCTTATATAAAATGTAAGACCTGGATGAAATATTCCATTAAAGCACTTAAAACAATATACAGCTGCTTTTAACAGCACTAGCTATTTTGACAGTAAAGGCTAACCGCATATTTATTCACATTTTAAGCGGAAACAATAGGAAATAATAAGACTTGTAAAAAATGTTTTAAGATAATCTAATTATCTAATTAAATAGTATTGAAGTTCTAAATACCTGTAAGTGTCATCTGGATATGTTTTGGTTATGTAATCTTGGAATTCCACATAAGCCTTTTCCTGAAATTTCTCAATCTGTTCCATGTTTTCTAGTCCTGGGTGATCTGAAACATTAAAGAATATATTGTTACCTTAATTCTGAATGCTTGTTAAATAAAGTACCAGGAATGGAGACTGAAAGAGGAAAGAATAGTTATGAAAAACAAAACAAGAAAAGCTCATCTTATGTGTGGTACTTTTAGTATCTGAATTTTTTATTTTGTAGTCTCCCTACTAAATCCTAGGCACTATACTTTAAACCCTCCAAATAATTCTGTTTCATGTATGTGTTCTAATATCTAATAAAATAATGAGACTAGCAGTTGTCCTGCACACCTCAGACAATGCAGGTGCTTCTTGTTCTCTCCTTTTACTAATGAACCTGTACTTTTAAAATGTTTTAAAAAAATGGTGGAAAGAAGTTGGTCATTTGCTTTCTACAAGAACAAAAATAAAATGATTCAGTTTATTAAAAAAAAAGTACTTTTTAAACTAAAGAAATACTTGCAGATTATATTCTATACCATATGTTTTGTTAGCACTACCCCCCGCAACACTGTTATGTAGAAAAATACTATGGAATCATGTAACTGAACATTTCCATTAGAAAATTTCTAATAACTTAGAAACAAAATAATTTATAAAAACATCTCAATAGCCATTATAAAATTTCATAAAAACAGGCAGGATTAAGAGAAGGTCATAAAAATGCCTAGGTTAAGAAATACTGAAAATATGGAAAGTATTTTCTAGATGAAAGAAAATAAAAAACAGAAAATACTGGGAGTACTTAATAAAATTACACCATAATTCTAATTTCAAATCTATATTCTTTCAATTTTCAGGAAAATGAAGGTGGCAAACTGGTTGTAATAAAAATGAAGATAAATGCTACTAACTAAAGCTATTAAATTATCTTATTGTTATCAGTGAGGGTAAGAACCAAGTTTCCTTAGATCCTTCTTTTGTAGGAATAGAATAGGAATATAGGAATAGAACATAGGAATAGAAATACATACCAAAATGAAAAAAAAAAAACAGAACCTAAGAGACAACCCATTCTTATTCAGAAATTAATTGCTGGGCCCTCATTGGTGGCCAAGGGGTTAAAGCACAGCACTATGAAGCAATCTGCAGCACAGCAACATGAGTTCAATCCCTAATCCCTGGACAGGGAGGAGACCCACACGGCACAGCAGACCTCTGTTGTCCTGCCCGCTGCTCCCCTCAGCAGTGTATTTCGGTCTATTTGCTTGTTCTACTCCCCACTCTGTCTCTGGTGAATCCTCTCACTCCACACCTCTGACCACGATCCCAGATTAAAATGTAGCATTCAATAGATTTAAATACTGCTATATTCAGAATTGCACAATAATCACCCCATTCTAATTTTAGAACATTTTTGTCACTCCCCCAAAAATCTCCATACCCATTAACAGGCACTCTTTCTTCTCTTTTTTCCTAGTTCCTTGTAACCACTAACCTAGTTAAAGTCTACAGATTTGCCTATTCTAGACCTTTAATAAAATGAAATCATGTAATATACTATCTTTAATTTCACTTAACATACTGTTTCTTTCACTTAACATACTTCTTTCACATAACATACTGTTTTCAAGGTTCATTCATATTGTAGTATGCATCAGAATTTCATCTGTTTTATGGCTGAATGATACTCCACAGTATGTGGAGAAATCATAAATCATGAATTTTTAAAAATTCATTCACTGTTAATAAACACTTGGGTTATTTTTACTTTTTATCATTTAACATTTTCACCAACACTGTTTGAGGGTTCTAATTTCTTCATGCCTTCAAACATTGTTATTTCAGATTAACAGGTAAATGTTTATATACCTGGACTGAAGAGTACTATTGCCTTCAGATAGGCATATTCATATCCATCAATGCAGAGTTTAACCATGCTGTTACAAAACTCCTGTAGTTTGAAGATATGTTCCATCAATAATTTTCTTCTTTCTGTTGACATTTTATCTTTAAATAAAACAAAAGAAAGGTTTCTAGTTTTTAGCAAAAACGCATGATTTTCTAATCAGTGTATTTCCTTCTCACTAGTTTCGAGGTTTAAATATAAACAATCTTTAGGCTTAAAATTCTTATCTCTGAAATTCTAGATGAAACTGATCAGGAATCTCCAGATTTGTTTGTTTATAACAAAGATGTTACAAAAATTCCGAAGTGTAATTTTTTTTTCAAATATACCTTTGAGAAGATATGCTATAAAAACAGCCACCTGGAAAACCTGGCAAAGCAAAGTACAAAAGACTCAAATTTTAGTAACAAAATTTTACTTAATCTTATATTGCTTGGAAAAAAATGAGCAAAATCAATTAGATTTTTTAACTCATCAGCACTAAGTTAAAAACAAGGATTTAGCAAAAACACTGCTAACACCAAAGAGAAGTTGAGTAAACCCAAGATTAATGATAAATGTTTAAGATTATTGTGATGTATTTAAAGCACATCTTATTAGTTACAGATAGTTTGTTGTGTACAACACATTACACACTGATGAGAAATAATTAAAACCTGGGAGTCCTTAAATAATATAAAATGTAATGCTGACTTCTAACTGATCTGTTGATGAGAGTAAAAGGTGATTTTTTTCTACCCATAAATAGGAGGAAGCAAAGCATTTAAAAATAAGGTATAACAATGAAATGTACCAAGGAAACAAAACATAATTCCCAGTTTATATAAAATATTTCTGAATTTAAAAGGGCAATTCTTCCCACTTGAGGTTGGGACACCCTCTATGTAGTCATTATAAAGTAAAGTATTTCCAAGTCAATGATTGTTTTCCTCAAACCAGAGTTGTTAATCACCTTCAAATCACAAATAGGAAAAGTATAAGGACTGCTCTGTGATTCTCCAGTACTGTTTAAGTGAGAGAATATATCATGATGGTAAAAAGATAATCAGCCTATCTTGAGTCAAAGGTTACAAAGAAGAACAGCAGCTCAAAATTCATGGGAAGTATACATTTATAAATATATTTGATCACCTCTTTGTAAGTTAATCCTGCATTGTTTGGTATAATGAAGTACAAAAATTTACAAGGCCTTGTCAGAAATACTAACCAGACTCAACTGCACTGTTTCAGTTTTGTTGTGCTTTCATGTAAAACTATTCCAGAGAGATTGTAAGTGAATTGCTTGCTCAAAAATTTTAAATTATGTAAAATAAAAAGGATATTGGCATCTAGAACATCATCAAATATCTCATGCCAATCACAACACTTATAAAACTGAGTGGGACTTTTTATATGTTGGAAAAGGAATGTGATTTGTTTTTTTACCTTGCTGAAGGCTACTATGAAGACAATTGACAAATGTTGCTAATATAGTGGCCACATTCATCACTTGCCAGCACTGGGCAAGACCAAGAGTAAAAAGTTCATTCCAATAAGCTTTCACCAATGATATGCTGTTTTCTTGCCTATTAAAAAGATACATAAAAAGCATTATTAAAATGTTATAAACTTTCTAACTGATTTACAACATACTCCTGAACTAAAATTACTTTAGACTGATTAGCTGGGTTTGGATTCAGTCAATTCTGCATCTTATATAGCTAACAGCAATTTATGAGTAAGGCTTAGAAATGAAAATATGAGTTAGCTTAATAATCAGTCAGTTTATACAGTTATAGTTAATATTTTAAACCAAAAGAAAAAAATTGAGGCTTTAACCTCATGTTGCAAGAAAACAGGGAAGAAATATATATGTGTGTATATACATAAACACACATATATATTTTTAAAATTTCCCTAAGTTTTCCTTTGTTCTAAATTCAGGTGATACTTTTTTAAGATAGGAAATTAGAATTATTTGATGGTAGGGAAGCAATCAATTTTCTGGGAGAAATGGTCTATAACTTTGGTATGTTTCAGATGAGCTATCAGTTACATGAGTAACCCATGACAGGAATGGGCAAAATTCCTTTCCTGAATTTCTGAATAAAAAAAATCTCAGTCGCATGAGTAGAAAAAGTATTAAGAGTAAGACACCAGGGTTTTAAACAAAGATTAGGCAAACAACAAGACCATAGATCTCATGTTTATTAGCTATAGAAAATGCAGAGACACTGTATGTCTTATATTTGCTCAGAGTTTTTATGAGATGCAAATATGAACACTACGTAAACAGTGAGAAAGCAACAAACACGATGGGATAAGTCTGTCCTCATGAAACAGAAGTGAAATCGAATATGCATTTATTTCAAATTTCAAATATTTTATTTAAATATTATATACACACATACCTTTGGCTATAAGTACATTAAGCTGGTCTCAGGTAATAAAAATTTTTGCATTACTATAAAGTAGGCACTAGAAACTGGGGCCAGTGTGGTTCAGGTAATGTGGGAAAGTCTTCCTTAAAGGCTAATAACTCAGAAAGGTGAGAAAAAACATTAAAAAAAAAAAAGAAATCCAGGGGCATAACATTAAAGAAAGAAGAAAGAATAAGGGCAAATCTTCCATTAAACACTTGGGCCTGAAAGTTTATCTTTCACAATCCAACTAAAAGTAATGTTTATTGTAAGTGTGTTTTGGAAAGGAGCTCTGCTGCCTTACCATGAATTGTTTTTCCCTAAATACCGTGACTTCATTTGAAATATAGTATTTTGGTAGTGGTGTTTTTTTTTTTTTTTTTTAATGTGGAAGCTAAGTGTTAGGTTATCCCCAAGTATGGGTGACTTCAAAGTTTGATAAAGTACTTCTTTATCAAAATAATATAAACAATGAGTACTAAGCACATGAATATTAACAATATAGTAGAGAAAAATATATACCTATGTATAAAAAGATGACCTATTTTTTACATAACTGAATGCTTTTCAGTTAATGTTTGTATGGTACTCCTCTATCCTGCTCTTTTTTGCCTCTTGAATTGTTTTTGAAAATAGGTAGGCATAAAGTGACTACAGTATTTGTTTGATGGATTTTCCTACACAAGAAAAAAGTTGTTAGCAAGTATTCTCTTACCATCACAAAATATTAGTCTTCGATGGTAAATCTCTATTAAGAAAACTGACTTTAGCACTTTACTTGCTAAAATTTATAATTATTTATAAAATAGCACAGAACAACAGGGTTCAACTTCTTAATTTATGTTATTTAACTGAGGCTCCATTTCTACATCAATTAGAAGCAGGAATGCTTGTGAGCTGTGTAATTTAAGTGAGATGATGAATGTAAATTCACTAATCCCAGTGCTAAAAAGTAGATTATTGATGCCCATTTTCCTTCACTATTTTAGGAACTTTCTTTTCAATGTAAACTTACCAGGTTTTTTTTTTCTTATTGAATTAAAAAAAAATACTTGAACAGGTAGCTACCTAGATTACAAGAATCATCCTATAATTGATCTCTATATTCAGCCCTTTCATATTTCCTTTGGAAACAAAGTAGTCTGTTAGTTTACTCCTCAGTTGCTACTTTCTTCCCCCACAGGGGTACTCAGAACAATTTTGGTATTTTTCCTCCTCTGCACTGATACCCTTTAACTTTTGCTCTTAACTGAGTCTATTTCTTAACTACTAGGAAGAGACAAAGTACTTCCTTATTACAAGATATTGCACAGCTCAATAAGAGCTGGATTTTTTTTGTTTTTCGTTTTTGTCAACTGAGTGTTGTTTTTCTATTCTTTGTTTCCCTAGTTAATTACCTTGTTTAGCCAATTTCTAGAAGAGACAGAATAGCTTTTATTACCACAAAACAATCTTCTATCAGTAGCACTTAGTCCTCATCTATCTGATTAATTCTAACTATAAAATATCTAGATAGGGATTATAATGTATCAATTATCAATTGATGGTCTAACAATAGTTAATTTTAATTGTAAAGAATCTTATGACTATTACATTGAAACTGATTTTCAATACAAATCATAGGTAAATGTGGTTGCCACTATAAAATTATTTTTGGTTTCTTCAATATATGAATTATTTTCATAAGATAATCACACTAATTTTAGCAGAAGTACTTAGATTAGTATTGTTATAAATAATTCAAGGGGCTTAAATCACTCCCCAAAATCTTTACTTTTGCCATTTCACTATAATAGCAGCTTACTATTATTAAAGGTAATAGGAGGTTACTTTTCAAGACAGAGGTATGTGAGAAACTTAGGCAACTTAAACATAAACTTAGGCAACTTAAACATTAAAATTTAATGTTTTAAAATAAATAAAATGCTAATATGTAAACTTAAACTGTATTTTAATTTTTTCTAAAACAACAGAAAGTTAAATATTATTTTCAGAGATAGGGCCAACAATCATTTTAAATATTAACATTGTGAATCAGGTTCTGGTGAATGTAATTGTATAATTCAAATACATGATTTAATGCATAGTAAACACTACTTAACAAAATTATAATGGGTTGTTTTTTATGCATGCCTTTTATAGTTATGATTCAGCTATGTTTTATCAAAAATATAAGGACAGAGTATATCAAATTACTAAACAGGTAGCTACCTAGACTACAAGATACCTAGATTATTAACCCTATGTGACAAAAAAAAAAAGAGATGTACAGTACATGAAAGAGAACTGTTTATAAAATCGTATTGGTTAACAGGGTTTTGTATCCAGAATAATAATTTTCTAGCTACTGGCTTCACTTTTACTGTTGGCTCATTACTTCTTTACACCAGTTACTTTAAAGCAATCTCAGTAACTTGGTAAACTTTAGGTAAAGCATGGGTTTCCTGTAACAGACCATTTTTACTATCTCTGAGCCTACTGCAGAACATAAATGTGCTCTATAAGGTAGGAGCAAATATCTAAATTATTGCAGCGACACTATGGGGTTTACTCTTTGTAACCACACAATTGGAAAACAATTACTTGTATTTTTAATTGTACTTACTTTATGTAAGCTTATTTTCAGCTCATATTTCTAACATGCCTTAGATGACACTGAAATGGTGGTGGGAGGGAACAAACAACGCATGACATCCCTTTCTTTCTTCAGCCACAGGTAACCTATGACAAATGCTGCCCATGACTTAATAGCTCCACTTCATGTATTTCATGTGAATTGTTAACTTGGTTACAAAGTAACCAAGTTATTTTCTGGTTTATTCTATAAATATGAAATGATTCGTTACGTAAATAAAACTTTAGTTATCATGTTATACCCTTTCTTTTCCCTTTAATGCAAATTTTTCCAAATAAAAGCTCTTGTTTAAAATGCATATGTGCTACAAAATTACATTCATCTTTAAGAACTTCAGAAAACTTACCCTAGAGCCTGGAAGGAAGGAATTGAAAGTGCCCAATGCATTGATAAGAACAGCAGTCTGGATGCAGATTCCCCAATGTAGTGCACATTCAGGTACTCGGGCATGGGAGAAGGCATGGTGAGCTAGTGTGAACAGGAGTGAGGTAAATTATCTTCTGAGAGAAAGTTCTAAATTATTATCTTTGAAAAAAGTAACATAAAACATATCACATCAATTATGAATAATAAACCCAACATAAAAGGCAAATCTTAAAGCAATCTAAGTCAATGGATTTTACAGCTTATAACAGGATTTACAATAAAACTAACTAGTTTCTAACATAGCAACACTCAAACAATTTCATTAATAAATACCAACCATGATATTATCTGGTTGTGTTTTTAAGCTGCTTTTTGGTTTGGTCTAGTATGTTCTTTTCTTCATTCCTTTCTTTTATAACAATAGTATACAAGAAGTTTAGTTTAAGCAGCATTCCTGAAGTTAAGTACGCCACGCCTTTTATATAAAGTGAGGTAACAATTCAGATGATTTACAGACTCAGGAGAATAAAAAGTGAAGCAGGACTGCTAGTGCTATTTAGGGAGAACAAATTCCCAGATAAATGCCACCACAGTGATCTTACTGAAATGTACTGAAAACATGGGAATCTGGGCTCAGTACTGTCAGCTTGTCCAATTTTTAAAGAGAAGGTTCTGAGTAACCCGATTTAATCTGCAGGTAAAATAAAATGTTTTTGTGGCCATACTACTCATAGGATGTATGAGCTCTACTGAAAATTAACATTCTACATCAAAACAATACTAAAAGAAATTTGAGGTTCTTGTTGAAGAGAACTTTTATTACTGCAAGTGAAAATGTAATAGTTTTTTCTATTTTAAAATTATTGAAATATTAGGAATTCATTATTTAATGTTGTATAATTTTATAAAGAGACAAATGACTCACAATCTGTTTTACATAATTTTTTGATAGACCTCTAGAATTATGAATAAGAACGCTAATGCTGGCTGAAAAAAAATAGAAATTCATTAACAAGTCCTTTAGATTAACAAAGACTTCTTACTCTAAAATGTTTAACTGTAAAGATGTTCAAAGGCTTCCTCAAATAGCCATAGACTTTAAGAGTTACAAATCAAATGACATACATTTTCAAATTACAAAAACTTAATATTATTTAGATGATTTTTAAAAAGCTCTGATTAGAATTAAATTTGGGCCTGTTTTAGAAGTAGTAACTTTTATAATATATCTGGAAACCAATTATTTCTGTCTCATATACTTACTTATTTCTAAACTGGGTATGCTAGCCATCATGATTATTTATAAAAGAAAATTATTAGATCAAGTGAGATGAAATATATAAAATCACACCAATGACTGTGAGTTCAACGAAAGTTGTTACTATTGCCCTATGTCCTTTCAGAATCAAAGTACAAGGGGCCCTTTCTGATGAAACAAGGAGTTAAAGTGCAGCACAATGAGGCTATCTATAGCCACTGTAACATGAGTTTAATCCCCAACCAGGGAGCTGACCCACATGGCACAGCAGGCCTCTCCTGTCTCCCCTGCTGCTCCCCTCAGCAGTGTAATTTAGTAGATCTGCCTGGTCTGTTCACCTGCTCAATGTCTGGTGAATCCTCTTGCACCCCCCCTGCACCTTTGGCCTGTACCCCAGTTCTTGTAAGCATAACAATACATCTTAAAAAAATGTGGAAAACAAAAAATAAAAAAGATATAGGGGTTACCAATTAACCTTACTGTACTAGAAGAGTTATATAATCTTGGATATTTTCATTATTCTTAGGACAATAAAGTATTTTAAAAACAGAAACAAGGCCCTCCCTGGTGGTGCAGTGGGTTAAAGCACAGCACTGAGAAGCTAAAGCCACTTCCGCATGAGTTC